CCCGGCAACTCAGTGCCTCTCTTTCAGTCGGCTTTTGTGTAGTTGTTGTTGCCCAGCGCACTGTATTGTTATGTTAATTTTTGATTATACGCAACCCCATTGTTGTTGTTGTCGAAAGCGAGTGAGTGAGTGAGTGAGTGGCACGAGCCCAGTCTTTCATATCTGCTGCTCACTAATTTGTGCGCGTGCCGACGGCTCAGGGTGCTCAGTCCCCCCCCCCCCTTTCCATCCATCTTAATTTCGACTACCCCCTTTTCAGCACAGCTTGAAAATCGCATTTAAATAGTGCGGAATACCCAGTGAGAATCCTCAGTAGTATCCCCGCTTTTTCGACTGTCTGTCTTTTGTGTCTGAGTCTCCGAGGGCGTCATGTTCTTCTCACGTCCACGTGCCGGGCATCAGTTTCAAGCTCGCCCCCAACTAACCCACAAAAAAGGGGTTCTAAGCCCCGAACCCGTTTTATCCCATCCTCATCGTTCCGTTAAAATTAAAAGTGTTTCGCTTAAGTGTTTTGTTGTGTTTGTTTGTTAGTTGTTTGTTGTTGGTCTTGCCGCAAGGTTTAACTAATGTGAAAGATAAAATGGAGCACGTCCACCAGATATTGTCGTAGGCTAAAACATGTGGGAGGGGGGGTGTTTTTTGGATCCTGAGGGGTGAACAACAATTACAATAGTCAATCAAGTTTGACTTGGGGCATTACTCCTTTCGTTGCCTTCGAAAGTTTAATGAATGAGAACATTTTGCGGTGACTCAAAGAGCTACGGTTTCCGTTTTTGGTTGAAGGATAAGATGGGGTTGGGGATTATGTCTATCTGGTTACACCGCAGTTAAAGAGATTGACTCCGGATAAGGTGGCTCCCTTTTCTAGGTTAATTAAACCCTCGCTCGGTGGCCACGTGTTCCGAATCGCCAGTTTGGCGAAGGATGGGGTTCATGGGTATTAATGAATATGTATTATGAGCGTTGAGGTGCTAATGGACACGACACGCCACACAATTTGGGTGCTGGGCAGTCCACCAGGGCTGCAACAAAAGCGCTGCAGCCGCAAATTGCATTAGAAATGCAAACAAGTGGGTTGCAGGAGCTCTACCCCCCAGAAAACCACCCAAAGCAGGCTTTCCACAGGGGCCGTGCCCCAACTTGCGGATATGTTCGACATGGCAGCGGGCGCTAATTGAATATACAAAGTGCCCAAGCAGGACCTGGATCAGCAGACCTGGTTGAACCTGGTTCCACGAATGTGGAAGTGAATGTGCAGCTGGATGGTGGACCACGTGCTAACCCTTCAGAAGTTGCTATTGTTGCTAACCAATCGACCGCCGTTCGTTCGACGGGGTTAGACTCGGCTGAACCGCTCAAGGGGTTGCACGCCCATGCCCGAACTTTCCCCTTTTCGAAGTGAGTGCGATTTTTGCTCAGTGCAAACTCGGACATCGTGGGAGTTTTGACAGTTGGCGCGGTTCTCCCGCCCCTTTTTTATTGCATTCGCCACTTCCGCTCTTCCGCTCATTGGATATGCAATTTTTGATGCCCTATCCAAGAGGGTTCTTCGGTTTCTCAACCTATTCTGAAACAAACCCATCATATTTGTAGAAATCTCTAGTTATAACTAAATATTTTGGTTATTTTATTTTAAAAATGAACTTATACTTAAAATCATGCCATTTTTGATGCCCTTTCAAAGAGGTTTTTCTGTTCTCAACATATTCTAAACCAATCATATTTGTAGGGATCTCTAGTTATAACTTATAACTTAATATTTTGGAGTCTTAAAAGTAACTATTATACATTTTTTGACTTCAAATGAACTTATATTTGAAATTTAATTATGCTTACAATTCCCAATTTGCATTCTACTCTGAGATTTTCTCCTAAAAGGGTATTTTAAACTTTTTCCCCTGCTTATTCTTTTTACTCTCCTTTCGACGCTGTTGTTGTTTGTTGGCCTTTGTAAACTTAATCCCATTTATATGCTTATTTGGATTGGCCGTCTGCTATTGGATTTCTCATCGTACCGCCTGCCCTCGGGATGACTTTCTGACTAGCCCCTACCCTTTAACCTTCCTGTTGCCCATTGCCCGTTGCCCTTCTTATTTCCCCGTGGGGAATGGGTTTACTTCCTTTTCCGCACTGAAAGATAAACTATACGTTTTTACTTTTAGAATACATGTTACTTTTGTAAAGTGTGATCTTCATAGCAAAAAGATTTAACTTATTCAAACAGAATTCTAGTCATCTCATACTCTTAAAAGATGTTTAAGGACTAACACCTGAAATTATTTATAATCATATATTTGGTAATGGAGAATCCACGTTGAACGAATATTAGACATGTTATGTAAAATATAAGCGGCTATGAGCGTATATTGCATCCATTGCCTTGTGCTTTAATCGGAACCCATGATGTCTGTATGGTGTACAAACCCATGTCCTATCGCTGCCTGGTTCTATTGCTCTAATTGGAATTGGTACACTTTTCTTTGATGCCCACATTTAGTAGGGCCTTTTGTTACCGTTTTTATTTCTTTGGATGTTACTGTTACTAGTAGCGTTTATGACGGCGTTCCTGTCGCTATAGCCTCTGCTCGTGCCACGTTGATATCTACAATGGTTATCTGAACTTCTTTTGGGCGGCAATTTTCATTGCGGTTCGGCTTGGCTGGAGTTTGGAATTGGGTTTTGGTTTGGGTTCGGTTCGACTCGGTTAATCGTTAGGGCTTGCGTGGGATTAACCAGTTTTTGGGATGAAGGCTGGTGGGAATTGAGCTCAAGGGATTGCAGACTGACTGTAGTTTGTTCTATTGTTCTTGTTTTGATTGCAACGTACAGATGTCTGGTTTGTTTACGGCGGAAAAGTGATTTAAGGGGGAGTTCTATACCATTTGTAACTACCTTTAAGAAATTCCTATAACAGTTACTATTTTGGCAAACCACTAATCTATTAATTTTCTTTTCCTTTTCAGGTAGGTGGAAGTCTTTACGAAAAATCTGGCCTTTCAACTTGATAAGTATAGAACTCCACCATATTTTCCCCTTCTGATTAGGATAAACAGCCCCTTCTTATCGAGCATAGAAAGCAAAATCAATAATTTCCGGTTTATGTCTGGAGCCCTCGTATTATGACAGCCAAACGATGAAAACGAAAGCAATCTTCTTGTCTGCCCCCATATGTTGCGGAGTAGGGGAGGGGGTCTTTGTTTTCATGGCTCCTATTCAGCTTTTGGCATATGCAGACAGCCATCGTGTTGTTGTTATTATTGGCTCCGCTCAATGAGGCCTGTGAATGAAATGTTTATTAGCCTGATTATTGTTCATAGACCAGCCGCCCATCCCCCTTCGTTCCCCGCCCCCTTTTCAATTGGTATTCCCATGGACTGCAAGTCAGTCGAGTCACGCACTTCCTGGACCACGCCCCCAAATTGCAGTTGGGGGCAGGGCGGATCCCACAGCTAAATTAGCAATTGTCACATTGCGACGAATGCATCGACACACGGAAAATGTGGGGGAGAATTGAGAAAAGGCAGTGGGATGAAGGGAAACCGGAGAGCAAGGAATTTTCCACTGCTTTTCCCAGCTTCCCCATCTGCTCCTCTTGAGTTGGACAAACTGTGTGGACAGCCACTGAAAGCATCCCCTATTCACACCCCTCTCTTTGCTTAGGGGGTTGGAAACTCGTAACAATTAGCACTCAAGATAGATGGCATGGAAATGGATGAAAATGACAGGGGGGAAATGGAATGGAAAATTTAGAAACAATTTATGAAGCAGATAGACTAGAAAATAAGTTTTTCTGACAGATGCACGGTTTTAAACCAATTGTATTTCAACATTATTACTATAAGTATCACAATCTTAGTCTTAGAAGCAATAGCCTCATGGGGCTCAACCAATTGATAGTATTTCAATAGTTTAATGTGATTGTAACAACTTTAATCTCTTAGCTAATGAGCCATGTCGCTGTCTGATGTCCAACATCTTTCGTCCGAAAATCGAAGACCCTCGCCCGCCCGCATGCTCCATTAGCGTCACACAATTTGTACCTACCGAAAAAAGAAATCCATCAGAAGGGGGGACCCCACAATAAAAACCAATTCCAATGAAATTTTTCATCCCACCAAATTGAAAAAGCGAAAAGAACGAGAAGAGCGAGGAAGAAACAACCAGAAGACAGCACAACGGACGGCGGACAAACAAATAGCCAGGGACCCCGAACCCCGGACTCCGAATTTCAAGTCCCACTGATGGAACACAATAACCTGGGGAGCTGGTTCGAAGTGTGGGGGGGGGGGGGGGGGGGGGGGGTGGATGGAGAGAATCTCGAGAAGCCCTTTTTATGGTGCAACAAATCTCGGGCTGAATGAAAACGCCAGAGAAACGGCGAGTAGACCAACGCAAAGTGGGAAACCGAACAAACAAGCAAGACCTCCACCTACTTTTCCAAGGGGGTGGAGATGACTTCCCCATGACGACGACGACGACGACGACGATGACGATGACGTTGTGGCTATGCCTGTGCCATATTATTAAGTGTAGCCAGAAGCAATTAGGTGTAGATAAGCAAACAATAATGGTCCCAGTCACGTACCGCCAGCCGACCCTGGTCGCTGGGCATTTTCCCGAGTTGAGAGCTGCCATTGGATGGTCAAATGGTTCAATCGCTGAAGTACATTTATTGACCGAAGGACATCCATCTTACTTTTCAGCCATTTGTAGTTTTTATTAGCTAGCTTAGGTCTTTTCATTTATTTAGTTGTTTACAAATAAGAGACTACTCCTTAGGCCAAAACATGATATTTATACACTGATATATATTGATAGGATGATATTGTATTCGATTTAATGAGATTTCGAATCGATATTAACTTTGTATTTACTTTCAGAGGGAGGAAAATTGAAAATTCTTTTTATATATGTTTTAGAAGGAAGATAAAAGGAAAAGATCATTTATAATACATATTTTACACTATTCAATTTGAGAACTAAGATGATTAAGGCTCTATTTCATATGTGAACATTTAAAGATGATCATAATTAAATTTGTTCTTTTCATAATTCAGTTCCACCGATTGGAATTGAGTATAATCACCCACATCGAACTACTGTCAATGCTTCAATAAGTTTTGCACCTCTTTCAGTCCTAAGTTATTAAGTATGTCAACTGGGTTAGTATGGTGGAAATGGCCAAAAGAAAAACCACTATCCAGGACTGAAAGAAAGGTGCACCCTTGTTCAAGCATTGGCAGTGCCCCATGCAATCCTCGCATCTGCTGACAGGTAGCTTCTCCTTACTGAAGATACCTGGATTCAGAGCCAACTGGCAACCAAGGGAGGGTGAATAAAGACAGCAAAACGTCTCGATGTAAGCTGCGGGAGAGAATTATTAAAAGTTCTTCAGTTCTTTCAGTTGAGGCACCGAATACCGAACTTATTTCGAATGGATAGGGGGTGCATGGAGAGAAGGGGCTGTTGTAAGCCCTGCTTTTCCCTTGGCATTTATCCTTTGAAATCTCATTTTCATTGATGTAAGCGCCTGGAGCGCAGTAGTAGCCCGTATAGTTGGTCTGGCAGTGGAACTGCCCGCGAGCCTTGCACTCAATGCACTGACCAAGAATACCTGATGGATGGTGTCTGAGATTATATAACTCCAAATAAAATAGAGCTCACTTACCTGGCACGGAAAGTAGGGAAAAAACTAATAAGTTTATTGCGCCAAATGACATATCAATATAAACAAACACTACAATGTTTATTTTTGTGTAAATGTCAAATAGCAAAGTCTTTGGAAAGTTATTGAATAAAACCCAGTATCCTAGTGGAACAGTATGTATGTTTAAATTTAAACGGGTACCTTTATTCCTTTGAAAATGCAGTGATCAATCGAAACCCACGTACATAATTAACGGCATGTGAATGACGTTTGCATATTTCAGAGGCAGCCAACAGATTCAGCTTGTCTTTAATGAATTCTTCCTCAGATGGCGAAATTCCCCTGAATTCTGTGCTCATTATGCTACGTGGGCTGGCATCGGTCGAAGGTTCCTGGAAATCGCCTCTGAAGAGCAGTATTCGGTATAAAGAAGCTCGAGGAAGCCAAGAGGCTACATTAATAACGATTCACATTTTACTTTGCAAAGCTATGGATTCCGAAAATGCATTTTGGAAATCTCTGTAATGTTCTCCAACTGTGGTGTTTTCCAGATGGAACCCTTTTGTCACGTTTCCCAATTTATTTTGATTTTTATTTTTAGAAAACTTTAAAAATTAAACCTTTCTCTAATAAAGGTGTACCAACTATTGAAAACAAATTTTAAAAAAAATTGTAGTAGACCTTACAAAACAACGAATTCAAAATCATTTTTAAAGGTTCCTAGGAAAGAATTAAGAACCCCTATTTAAACAAAGGCTTTTCTTTTCGTCTGATGCTCTTTTCAACGAATTTAGTCAAGAAGATTTCGGGGTAATGAATTTAACTAGAGAATAGAGTACCCCAAGTATCTCAACGGGGACAATGGACGTGTCAGTCTGCATATGCAGCTCAAATTAGCCCCGAATTTGATCTAATTGCTACACTTGTGGTGGCACTCCTGAGGGTAGGAGATATTGGGTCTTCGGTGACATGGCAATCGTTCGGATTTGAATTGCAGAATCTGCAGACTGCCTCGACGTCCGCATTGTTATTCAAATGCTGCCATTAATACTTCACCGGCAATTGAAAATGCCCGACGAGGACAAGTGCTCGGGTGGAAGTGAGTCATCCGTCGGTGGGTGAATGGTGTCTATGGCCACACGTCATGTGTGAGTGCTCCTTGGAGCTGTATGCTGCATCCTATGCCCCAGCTCACTTTGGTTCCTTTCCAGGCATTCATATGCAAATTCTGGTGACTTCTTCAGTGTAGCCGGGAAGTCGAGAGGCTAGGTGACCAGTTTTTCTACTTATTTATCGTCCTGTGCTCCTGCGCCTTTAGGAAATATAATATGGCAAAATGGAGTTTTGAATTTATTAACTTTCGTTGGTAGAACACCAGCTTCTCAACGCTGCCCACAACTCTGCCTACATTCTGTGGTATTAATGGAAAATTGTAGCACAAAGGTTTCCCCTCTCTCTCGTCAAATACTTTATTTGAGCTATAGTTTGTGGCAAACAAAGGGAAAAAATTTAAATCAAAATCATTTGTTAGCCTGAGGGGAAACCCCGCATGACTGCAACAGCAACAATGACACCAGGCAACATCAATAATAGGAACAGCAACAGAAATAACTATCACAATTGGGCACACACATCATCGTCGTCGACGTCGTCATCCCCCAAAATGGTATTGAATTTCAGTTGCCATTGCCTACCCCACTCTCCTATTTTTTTCTGGGTTCCCGGGGCATTTATTGAATTTATCAGCTGGGACCCATCGCCAGCTCTGATCTTCGACTGGTTCCATTTACTGATTCGAGGAACAAGAGTTGTGGCATCTTTAACATATAATGTTAATGGAATTGTCTGCCAGCGCAGCAGGTCGGGGTCACCACTCGAATAAAATGCGGAATGCGCATAAAGTCCCAATAAAACTGCTTAGGATTTTCAGGCCCCACCAACTAATCCCAAACTCGAGGGGCACACACGCACTTATGTACTCCGAACACCCAAAGACTCGACTCTCCTCTTAACTTCCCGGCCAGCTTTAATTAACCCAAGTGAAGCGGGGGCTGGGCCAATAAAACTAGAAGTAAACACAGTAATTGTGTGTGGATATGGCCCTGAACCGCAAACCCCCAAAAACCCGGCTCAGACTCGATCCGGAGCACCTGTCGGCTGCCTTCTGGGCCTACATTTAGCCGCACTCGCATCTGGATTAAAGACACTGGCAGTGTGTGGCATGTTGCACGCTGGTACACGTTGCAAGGTGCCAGCAGCAAGCTAAACACACGGAATACGCAATCCCACTCAGAGAAAAGTTCAATCGGTATATTGTCCACAATTAACTGGCTTTGTGGAAATACATTTTTGAATAGCATTCAATTTAAAATATAATGTTCCTCAATTTGTTTTGGTACCCTTACTATAGGAAATTACTTTTAGGAAGAACCCCCCCAGGTATTATGAAACAAAGTTCTTGAAAACAGACAAATACGCCTTTGACAAGCATCAATGTCAAACCGAAAAGACCAGAAAAATTCAAGAACAATCCGTTCTCAAATTTCGGTAATAATCTGCTCATAACATAAACAATTTGTTTACATTTTTTGAGAGAGGGTTAATGAATTGTCTGGGATTGGTTTTCTAACGATTCCCCTTTGACATGCATAAATTTCAAAACGAAAAGACCAGAAAAATTCAAGAACAATGGGATTCAAGAACAATCCGTTCTCAAATTTCGTTAATAATCTGCTCATATTATGAACAATTTGTTTAAATTTTTTGAGAGAGCGTTAATGAATTGTCATGGATTGATTTTCTAACGATTAAAACGTACTCAATTTTTTAGTAACAATTTAGAAAAGTATAGTTTAGTCTACAATAAAACAAAACAATGTATCTACTTTGTATATAAATTAAAGAGTATGATTGTATTCGTTTTCCTGTTATTGTTATAAAACAACAGACAATTTAAAACTTAAGGTTATCTTTTAAGAATCAACTTAAAATTAACCACTTCAAATAGTTTTTCTGAGTGGGGAAGAGCTCTGCTCAAATATTTTCACAAGCAATAAGGCAACAAATAAGAGCAGGTAGACAGAGACAGACAGAATGAGTGAGTGGGAGGGAGCCTTTGGCAGAGATAGAGACAGAGGCAAGCTGGCTAAAACCAGCAACAGGACAATTTAATTATGCAGGATTTTTCAGTGCTTCGCAGGCTCTCTTTCATTTCGCCCGGAAACAGGACTCCAACTTCGCCTGCTCCTGTGAACTCGGCTGCAAAAGAATTTAGCTAAGATTTTGCGTAAATTGATTTTAAATAAATTAAAACTTAAATATTGACATTGTGTTCGCCCGAAATGCCACTCCTGTCAGGAATTTTGTTGGTATTTTCAAGGGGCTTAGGCTAAGCAAAGATAATTATTTTCTGCCTCTTTGGATAACACGGCGTAAGTATTATTTGTTGATTTAGTAAAAATGTTAGCTTTCTGTGCACTAAATAGTTTTCATTGAATTTTAGTTTAATCCTGAGGTATTCGTTTTAAATAAAAGTAAATAAATATTAAATCTCTGTTAAAAGAAATCTTTGTGGTTAGTTTATATAAATTCGTGTTGCTTTTACCGTTTTTTGTTCTTGAATTATTTTGAGCAATTCTATTCAAGAAGAATTGGGTCTTGAACATGTCCTTTTAAAAGTTAGACCAATAAAACTATTAGCTTGTAAATCTTGATGGATTCGATTTAAATAAAAGTAAACAAATAATTAATCCCTATTAAAAGAAAACTTTGTGGTTAGTTTATATAAATTCGTGTTGCTGTTACCGTTTGTTCGTTCTTGAATAATTTTTAGCCATTCTATTCAAGAAGAATTGAGTCTTAAACATATCCTTTTAAAAGTAAGACCAATAAATCTATTAGCTTGTACATCTTAAGGGATTCAATTTAAATAAATATATTATCTCCATTAAAAGAAAATTTTGTGGTTAGTTTATCTAAATTCGTGCTACCATTATTTCGTTGTTAAGTTATTTTGAGCAATCCTATTCAAGAATAATTGGTTCTTGAACATGTCCTTGTAAAAGGTAGATCAATAAAACTTATAACTTGTTAATATTGAGTAAAGTAAATAAATATTGTATCTTCATTAAAAGAAAACTTTGTGGTTAGTTTATTAAGGTTCGTGCTACCATTATTTCGTTCTTAAATTATTTTGAGCAATCCTATTCAAGAATAATTGGTTCTTGAACATGTCCTTGTAAAAGGTAGATCAATAAAACTTATAACTTGTTAATCTTGAGGTAATCGCTTTAAAAAGAGTAAATAAATATTGCATCTTCATTAAAAGAAACCTTTGTGGTTAGTTTATGTAAGTTCGTGCTACCATTATTTCGTTCTTAAATTATTTTGAGCAATCCTATTCAAGAATAATTGCTTCTTGAACATGTCCTTGTAAAAGGTAGATCAATAAAACTTATAACTTGTTAATCTTGAGGTAATCGCTTTAAAAAGAGTAAATAAATATTGCATCTTCATTAAAAGAAACCTTTGTGGTTAGTTTATGTAAGTTCGTGCTACCATTATTTCGTTCTTAAATTATTTTGAGCAATCCTATTCAAGAATAATTGCTTCTTGAACATGTCCTTGTAAAAGGTAGATCAATAAAACTTATAACTTGTTAATCTTGAGGTAATTGCTTTAAAAAGAGTAAATAAATATTGTATCTTCATTAAAAGAAACCTTTGTGGTTAGTTTATGTAAGTTCGTGCTACCATTATTTCGTTCTCAAATTATTTTGAGCAATCCTATTCAAGAATAATTGTTTCTGGAACATGTCCTTCTAAAAGGTAGACCAATATTTAAGGTGTTATTATATTGTAAATCGGAGTACTCGGATATAACATTCCTACATGACTCTCTTGACTTTGCCCTACGTAGCTAATTTTCCCGATCCCCTCTGGCAATCCAATTTGTAAGTCCAGCAGTTCTTTCGCTCTGCCCCCCTCTTGTAATGATAAATCATCTTTTGTGTTCCCGCTTTGTTTTCTCTGATTTGGTAACCGATTTCTCGGCTCACTCTACGGATGACTCTTGAGGCATATTCAGTGCCAGACTTGGGATTCGGATTCGGGTTTC